GAGAGGAGGTAGCAGCTCCCACGCCCTCCCCAGGTGTGTCCCCCTTCCACACCTGCCTGTGTTCACCAATCCGGGAGCTCTCTGCACCCTGTACTTTTGGGATTGCTGTGGAGGCTTTGTGAGTGGGCCTGATCGCTCATTAACTCCATCGTCAGCCCTCCTCTCCTCTGTGGAGAAGGGGAAGGTGGGGCTGAAGATTCCAAGTTTCTAATCCTGGCTTGGTCTTCCTGGTGACCAGCTCCCGTCCAGGAGCCCACCGTGTCCCCTCATTAGAACAAGACTCTCCTGTCACCCAGGAAAGTACAAGGATTTTAGGAGCTCTGTGCTGGGAACCGGGGAAAGAGACCAATATATCTTTTTTTCTATTCACCTATTTTATAAAGAAATGAGAGAAATTTTGTTCTGAAGGCGCATATAGTCCAGTGAGGACAGCAGATAACACTGGGCTTGGAAGGATGCGCAGATGGCAGGGGGTCCCCTGAGTTAGGGCACCTACTAAAGATGAGGGAAGGAGCAAGGTTTCTCCGAGGAGGTGACGCTGGGCCTGCATCTTAAATGACAAGCAGCTGGCGGGGACACGGAAAGAAGGGTGTCCTGGCTGCGAAAACAACATGTTTAAATGTGTACTAATAACAGTACCTGTTATTTATTGACCGTCTTCCTCCACACCAGCCACTAGGTGGCGCACTTAACGGGCCCTGTCTGGTTAATTTCCCTTAGGCCTCCCGTTTGTGTTTTATCTGTTGCCTTAAGAACAGATGCTTCATAGGACAGGACTTTTCTTTGTTCTTGTTGTACGTTATGTTCCAGTGACTATTGCTGTCTAACAAACCAGCAACCGGTTTATTATGCCCGCAGATCCGATCCCATGGGTAGGGGATTCGGAAAGAGCACGGTTGGATGGGATCTCCCTGGGGGTCTTCAGGTGGTTGCAATCAGATTTCGGCTGGGGCTTCCGTCAGACGAAGGGCTAGACACCCAAGCTAGCTCACTTGCGGGGCTGGCCGTTGATGCTGGCCGTTGATGCTGGCCATTGGCCGAGCTCAGCTTGTTTCTCACACAGTGGGCCGGCCTGTGGTCTCACCAGCATGGCAGGGGTCTCAAGGTCATCTGAAGGAGAGAATGTTTTATGAGAACCACGCGGGAGCTACGTGGCCTTTTCTCACCTAGACTCGGAAGTCACATATTGACACATTTGTCGTGAATGATTGGTTGTGTGTTACCAGCCTGTCCGCGAATTTCAAGGGGAGCGGAACTAGATTTTGTCTTTCATTGTGGTGGTGGTGGGGAGGAGGGGGGCGGGTCTTAAAAATTTGAGCATATGTTGAATACTACCACCTTCTGACCACAAATTATTTATGTCCTCCCATACGCAGAATACATTTGCCCTCCCTGAGGCCCTCCCCCAAATTATATCGTGTTCTGGTTTATTTCTTAGGCTCAGGCTTGAAGTCCAAAATTTTGTCATTTAAGCCAAGGCTGGGTGTGTTCGAGGCCCCTCATGGTGGGTCCAAATACCCATGAACTGAGCTGCTGCATCATCCACCCTCCACCCATCGTGAGACAGTGGACAGGCGCAGGACAGCCACTGTAGATGTCCCTATCCAGAAAGAGGGAGATAGAGAACACTCCCCATCTGTGGTCCGAGCCGTTCTGAAACTTAGCAACCTGACACCGGTTCTTTGATTCGAATTTAGCCCTACTTTTGGGGAGCTGCTCCCCATGGCTCTGGCCTCTGACCTTTGGGCTCTGGGTTGCACCCTTTGAGTCATCCGTCTAAAAGGAAACTGACTTAGCAGTTGAGTGAGTAGCCTTCTGCATCTGCTTCCCGCTTATAAAAAGCTGAGGGTCCAAGGCCTCTCTTCATTTTGTTCTGGTCTGTCATTCTTTTAAAAGTGTCACGGGCTCCTCGTGCTTTAATTTACAATCCACTCCACTTGGCAAAAGCCACCCACAAATTTCCTGCAGATAAGCTTTCCTCTTCCTTGGGCAGCACCTAGATCTTTCTGACGTCCTAACGTCCTAACGAAGGGTCAACGTGGCCAGTGAGGTTTGACTTTCTCTGTCCTGAGACTCTTTCTTAACATGCAAATCCTTTGCCTTCTGGAGATGCTGGGGTAAAGTGTGGCTTTATTTTTTAATCTAGAAAGCACTGGCTGGGTTTATATAGTCCCTAACTTGCACTCAAAACCTGAGCAGCTCATTCTTTAAGCGCTCCTCTCTCATTTTGTTATAGTCAGTGGGGAGAAGCCAGCACTTTCAGCCCTCTGCCCAGAAATCTTTTTAGTTAGATCGTCAAGTTCATTAGATACGTTTTCTATTTTCCACATTATTCCTGGCAGCAGTTTTATCAACGTCCCTCTACTACATAACAGGGACCTCCTTTTCTAAATCTTTTCTTTATTTGAAAATGAAGAAATCATTAAAATACTGTTTCTTTATTTTTCTTCGAGGCCTCACCAGCAGCCTCCTGGAGGCCATCTGGCTTCTGCTAAGTCTCCTCAGGGCCTTTCCACCTGGTCGTCATGCGGGTGCCTTGAGTTTTAGGTTTTTGTTACAACAGCCCTCCATTTTCGGATACCGAATTTCTGTTCTAAGTTTTTATTGCTGTGTAACAAACCATCACAAACCTAGTGACATAAAACAACTACCACTTTATGCGCTTGCAGATTCTGTGGGTAAGGAAGTTGGGGGACAGTTTCTCACCTAGGGCTTCTTGTGCAGGTGCAGTCAGATGTTGCCTTGGGGAGTCTTCTGCAGCCTTGACTTAGCTCATGGTCCAAGAGGGCTCCCTCCCGCGGTCGCTGGCTGGTGCCAGCTGCTGCCTGGAAGTTGAGCTGCACTGTCTACCAGCCTGGCGGTCTCGGGGCAGTCAGACCTGCGACATGACTCCTGGCTTTCCCCAGGGGTGAGCATCCCAAAGGAGCCAGGTGGAAACTGCATGGCCTTTTGTGACCTAGCCTTAAAGTCATAGAGTGTCACTTCTTCTGTGTTAAGAGCAAACCGATAAGATTTGCTCAGATTCAAGGGGGAGGGGAAGAGATCTCACTTCTTGTTGGGAGAAGTATCGAAGAATTATCAGACATGTTTTGAAACTGGAGTAGTGTCTGGCCAAGGGAGAACCTCACAATGTAATTGCAAGAAGTAGGCATGCCCACCTCTCTTATTATATCTGATGGTTAGTCTTTGGGCGATACCGCGTGTCCCCAGTAATAACAAGTTATGGTTTAAGGAGCTTCGTGTATTTATAATGTATTTTTGTAAAATAGGGACACAGTACTTCACATTGTATACCTTCTATTCCAAATGAATTAGAGAATCCCCCCCCCCGCCAAGTCATAAACAGAGGGAAAAGTATAAAAGGATATTTATATAATTTTAGAATAAGGAGGGCCTTTCAAAGCAAGATTTAAAAGCCAGGAAGCCACAAGAGAAAATTTTTAAATAGTAGACTCCATAAAAATTTAAAATGTCTCTGCAGGAAAAGATATCATAAATACAGCCGAAAGCTAAAGAAATAAACTGGGTAAAGTATTTGTAATCTAAATAATAGATAACAAACTAGGCGAAGTAATCTAACCATAAAGTAGTATTTCATAGGTCTGTTGCAAAGATTAAATGAGATTAAAGTTCCCAAAGTAAAAATATCTAATAAACGATAGTTTCTATCCATGCTAATATAAAGAGTACCTACAAATCCGTTTTTTAAAAATATGGCTAACAGAAAAAGGCTATGAATGAACAAATCGTGAAAAATATAAATGGTCAATAAACACATGAAAACGTGTAGCCTCACTTGTGACTAAATAAAGAAAAGTCGAATCTGCAGTGAGATTTTTTTTTCTACCTGTAAAACTGTCGGGGATGAAAAAGAAAGGTAATATTTCAGTCTGGCAGAGAAGTGGGGAAACTGACGTTTTTCTTTGCTCGTCTTTATCCTTCATGGGCAAAGGTGTTTTTTTCCCTCCTCTGGCTTCTTTCAGAATTTTTTGTCTTTGTGTTTCTATAGTTTGAAAATGATATGCCTAGGTGTCGTTTTTTAGGGCATTTATCGTGCTCGATGTTTTCTGAGCTTCTTGGATCTGTGGTTTCGTGTGTAACATGAATTGGGGGAAATTCTCAGTTTTTATGGCGTCAAATATTTCTTCGGCTCCTCCTCTCTTTCTTCTTCTTTGGGAATGCCCATTACGTGTGTGTCGCACCTTTCGTAGGTGTCCCATGGTCCTCGGATAGTCTGTTCTGTTCTGTTCTCTTCGCTTTTCAGTCTTGGGGGTTTCTGTGAAGGTTCCCCTGGCTATATCTTCAAGCTCAGAAGTTCTTTCTGTAGCCATGCCCAGTCTTCTAATAAGCCCATCTAAAGCATTCTTCATTTCTGTTAGTGTTTTTAATCCCTGTCATTTTTTCCCTTAGGATTTCCATCTCTCTGTTAACATTGCCCGGCTGTTCTTCATGCTGTCTGTGTTGTCCGTTTGAGCCCTTAGCATATGAGCCATGGTTGTTTGAAATTCCCATCCTGATAATTCCAGCATCCCTGCCAGGTCTGCTTCCAATGCTTGCTCTGTCTCTTCCAGCTGTGTTTTTGGCCTTTTGGTATGCCTTGTAATTTTTCTCCTGATAGCCAGATGTAATAAACTGGGTAAAAGGAACTGCTGAAAATCGGTTTTTAGTGATGTGGTGGTGAGGTGTGGGGGATTGGGAAACACTCTATAGTCCTGTGACCAGGCCCCAGTCTTTAATGAGCCCGGGCCCCTGGACCGTGAACTCACCAGGATGTCTCTGTTTTCTCCTCCCCACTGTAGGTAGGACAGGACGGCGAGAATGGGCTGAAGTCGGGTGTCCCCAGGTCAGTCAGGCCCCCGGCAGGTCAGGCCCTGGGGGCCTCATTTCTCCCGAGGGCAGACATCCTTAGGAAGAACAGAGTTCTCTGGTGTGTTTCCGAATGATTCCCCCTCACGGTAAAACTCACAAAAATGTGGGAGAGCCCTGGAGTGTTTGACGCTCAGACTTGTCCCCATGTACCCTCCAGCACTTGGTCAGTTACAGTGGTTTTCCTAGCTGGGCACTGGTTCCTGTGGTGGTTTCAGCTGGTGACCGTCTGCTCTGGGGAGCAGTGACTCCCTGCATTCACCTCTCGGTCTCTCCCAGCTGAGGGCAGCAGTTTGTCCTGTGTCGCTGCCACTCTTACAGACCCAGGAAGAACTGTTGATTTCTCAGTCTGTTCGGACGGCATGATGACTTCCAAGCTCCTTACCTGCAGAAACGGAGACTGTGACTTACTGTTGGTGGAATGGAAATAGATCTAACATTTATTAAAGCAGTCTTAATTATCTACTAAAACTAAAACTCTGCACGCCCTTGGACCTAGCATGTCCACCTTTGGATGTGCTAGCATGAATGAACAAGGATGTAAGTACCAGAATATGTTCTGGCAGCTGCATTTCTAATATAGGAGTGAAGTAGACGTATTTACACATATGGGATGCTCTCCAGCTGTTAAAAAGAAACGAGGTAGCGCAATATATCCTTGGGAAGAAGTCCAAGACATATCGTGAAATGGAAGGAGGAAAAAGACAAGTTTCAGTATGTTTAAGAATCAGTTTTTGTTTAAAACTTACTCATGGTAAGAACGAAGGCATGCTTTAGAGAAGACAGACAATTTTGGAAGAATATATTCTGGAACAACTATTGTGTCTTATGTGATGAATACGTATTTGAGAATTAGGTAACAATTCAAGAAAGAACGGGTGAAGACCAACAGGGCTAATTGAGAACAGTGAGATGCGACTGGTCATTTCCATCACTTTTCCCGACGTCAGGCAATAACGAGATAATAACCTCTGACTCTGAATTTAATTGACCTTCTGGGGACATTACAGTAGGATAGGCCCAAATAAATGGAAAATTTAAATCTCTTTGTGCCTCATTTGCTTTCAGAAGAGGACACGCAGAAGATGACAAAGGTTCCAAACAAAAGTGTTTTACCAAAAAAATGTTTTCCTCATTTGGAGTTTTTTTCATTGTTAATCCTTCTAGGAAAAGTCTATCTCAGGAAAAATGTACCCCTCTGCAGAAAAGCAGTTTCTTTGGTTCTGTCGTGTCCAGGTTAGTGGTTTGTTGTACTCAAAGATGTTCCTAATGAATTTTCTTTGATAACGTGTATCGCTCCCTTAAAAGGCTAAATAGAGCAGTGGCGTTGTGGTAACTGTGAAAGCTGTTTCGCTTCTGTTGCGAAATACGATTTATATCTACAATTTTCCTGCTCAGATGACTTCTCAGCACCCTGCGGGATGAAGAGTATAGACTGATATTCTTCTGAGTTACTCGTCCTGTTAACTTCCTAATCCGACTAAATTTCATTTCCCACTTACCTCCTCACACAACACCAAGCCATTCTTAGATGTCAGCAGAGTGTCTGAGAGTTGAACTCAATTCTGACACTGTCTGCCCAGAGATGGCATCAGATCCCACAGGTTATGCCTTCGGGCATAAGTCACAAGTCCAGATTTTAACCTGTACTTCAGACAGACGGGCTGTAAATCAGATTCCCAAGACCTTCTCCACGGATTCCGTTAATTTGCTGAGAGCAGCTCACAGATTCGGGAAACATTCTACTTACTAGATTACCAGTTTATTCTAAGAGTATCCACCTCAGGAACATCCAGGGCGAAGAGATGCATAGGCCAAGGTGTGGGGAGGGGCTAGAGCTTCTCTTTTCTCTCCAGACGTGCCAGCACCTCCACGTGTTCACCAACCCAGAAGTTCTCCAAACCCTGTCCTTATGGGCTTCTATAGAGGCTTCTTTGCATAGGCACGACTAGTTAAATCACTGGCCATTCTCCTGCCCCTCTCTCCTCCCTGGACGTTGGGGGTGGCACTGAAAATTCCAACCCTCTAATCACATGACTGGCTCCACTGGCAGCCAGCACTGTCCCTAGGTGCTTTCCAAAAGTCCCTCATTAACACAAGAGACACATTTAAGCTGTCATCATTCAGGAAAGTCCAAAGGTTTTAGGAGCTGTTGAGTCAGGAACCATCAATGAAAAACCAAGTATATGTGAAAAATAATATATTTTGGTCACCTGAATGATCAAATATACATGTTTCTTATAAATCACAAGATAACACATCCTAACATAGTTTTTCTTTCTCCTACGTGTAACGTGTGTTGTCCTAAATGATCCATTTTATATAACGATCTGTTTTGTTTTACCCCCTGTGAATTTCCTAACAGAAGTGCCAGAGGGGACTTGGGTGCCAAAAAGAAAAAGAAGAAACAGAAGAGAAAAAAGGAGAAACCAAATTCTGGAGGCACCAAGTCAGACTCTGCATCTGATTCCCAGGAGATTAAGATTCAGCAGCCTTCAAAAGTGAGAGCCCTGTTTCATTTCAGCCTGTGTAGCTGCTCATGCATGTGAGCTCAGCGCCCTGTCGGATCAGAGGTGTAGTTAGGGTTTGGTCGTGACTGTGCCGATAGTAATCGGAGGGTATTTGCAGCCTTCCTAAAACTGACACAGGCACCCAGGTAACTAAGACGTACACGCTGTGCTTTTGTATGTATGAGGAGACCGCCTGCATTTTTCCCGTTTCTCAGCAAATTAAGTTTATAGATTGTAGTCGTAGAACAGACTCTCAATGTGAGCGGTTAGGTTTTGTTTTTTGAAGTGACACTAAATATTTGATGACTTTTAGTTCGGAAGATATTCACGTTTTAATTTTTCTGGGTGTCTGTCTAATTATCTGAATAGCACAACACCATCTGGCAGCAGATTTCAGCAGGCGC